CTTCCTATCCACCCCTCCCCACACTATGCCCCCTGTGCCCACAGTTCCTCATCTCAATCTTTCCCAATTTAAAAGGCCACCCCTGGACTCCTCTTGACTAGGTCTCTCCCTTGGTCCCCCACAGGCCTCCTTCTCAATGCTGGTCTTACAATTCTGGAGAGGATCAGCAGGATTCTGGGAGGTTTCCCGGAATATAATCAACTCCCCACATTTGAAAAAACAAAATTACTACATAAAAATATTGTGAGAAGACAAGTTTCTCCTCAGAAGCAACACTTTCCTTTCTCCAAGGAAGAGGTCCCCAGCACTTGCTAAGTCCTCCTCCAGATAGCTGCCCAAAGACTGGTAGGCATAATTCTCCTACCCTTCTCCCAGAAGCAGTCTTCGGTCAGTGCTTCAAGTCCCACATATGTTGTGCTTCTCTCAGTCTCTCTTGCTCCACATTTTCTTCTGTCTCCCTTAAGGCTCTCCCCACATTTCCACCTCCCTCCATGCCACTGTGGCTCTGCTTTGTCTCTCTCTCCTCCGACCCCCAACAAATTATGTTCCCCCAAATTTCTCTCCTGCCCTTTCAGATGTAGATGAAGCACGGCTGTTGCTGTACAGTTCGCCGAATTCTATCTCCCCAGCAACCTGCATGCTCACAGCTTCTTTTCTTTCCCTGCACACTTCCATTCCACAATCAGACACAGAACCACAGCTTGAGTGAAAATGGCAGGGAATGTGTGGCCAGCTGGGGAAAGGAAACCCAGACACCAATAACTTACTGAGCTAAAAGCAGGAAGATCAAGCAAGCCTCCCAACTCCCTTCCCCCCTTCCAGGCTCCACCTTTGTTTCTCCTTCCTCTTTCCTGTTGTGTGTGAGAGGGCTCCAAGGGGACAAGGCTGGATAAATAGCTCAAGGAGCTGGCAGCTAGTGTGCTGCATATACCCCAGACATTCTTTCGTCATTTCCCCCTCAAAAACAAAACAAAAAAAATAAATGGCCCATGGGTAGGAAACTCACAGACTAAACTCTGGCTCCTCTAACTCAGATTGATCCACTTATCTCCAAATCACTCAAAGGGCAAAATGTCCTTTCAACCTGCATGCATTGCACACCTTCATTTCCATGAAAGTCAGTGGGAATTTGGGTGCCTGGGATAAGCAAGATAAATGACTTTAACTGTTTATGTTTCAAAAGATAGCATTTCGTGAAAAATGATTAGGGTGAAATGCTGCCCTGGGCTGCTTGTTATCCAGGGCTTCTCATGATTTCAGTGGGAGTTATGCCTGGACATCCTAGGACATAATTTGCTCCCTCTTGTTTTGTATTTACTGAAACTAAAGATTACTCGGAGGAAGATACTGCATATGCAGCAGAGAAACTAATTGCAGCTAAAAATGACGTCGCTGCTATCAAGAAAAACTAAAGTGAAGCATTTTGTGTGTGCGCAATTGAGATGGAAATATTGCAACTGAATACAGCATAATCACTAGTGCTTATGCCTCCCTGCTGTTCTTCTTTCTTCCTCTCTTGAAAGGCAACTATATTGTAACCCATATCCAACGGTCCGCCAATCATTAAAATCTGCTGGCTGCCATATGTTACAATACAATGTATGTATCTATATCTGGTTTTATAAAATGTGCTCACTGAATCTCTCTAAACACATATATAAAATGAAGACATTGTTACATACATGCATTAATGAAAATGGACTCAACAATCAAAACCTCTAAGGCAAAGAATCTCAACCCCTCCAAGCACTCACTCAGACAAAATCTTGAATAAAGAGATCTGTTGTAATGTGTGCAGAAGGCTAGTGCACTTGGACTTTGTCTGACCAGTGGTGGGGTGGAGTGAATTCCACAGTCAAGGACCCTTCACTGAAAATGCTCTGTTTTGAATCATCAGATGTATATATTCGGGGGCTGTTAGTTTGAAAGCCTCAGGTGTTTTCAACTACTGGGACAGAGTAAAAGGAGAAAGAGGACCATTAAATAAAATGACACATTTAAAGGTCAAAACTATTTGCATCAAATCATTTTTGAGACAAATTTTGCCTCTTTTTCATTGTATGTCTTGGAAACAGATCATGATTTCTTTGAAGTCTTGCATTATTAATAACACAATATATATCTTTGCAAAAAAAGTCTCTATGAATTGACCGTGAATAGATCTTTTCAGTATTCCAGCTTTGCTGGTTAGCTCTAATTGGTCAGATACAATCAGTCACATGGTGTTTTTAATTCTTCTCAAACCAGACAAAAGTGCAAGCACTTCCAGCACAAATACTTGCATAAAGAAAGATCACATTTCCATGAGTACTCAAACATACAACTTTAAAATTTGATTTCTTAAACATTTGTGCCAAAAAAATAAGTTACACAAATTAAATGATTGGCGAAAAGTGATTTTATTTTTCAATTCAACGAAAATATTTTGCTGTATTCATTTAGCTCTAGTGAAACAAACATCCTTAATTGCCAATGGAAGCCATGAAGCACAGATGTCACATGCTACCTGAACATGTAGCTCATACAAATGGGTTTAACTTTGAACATCCAAACATTAAGCTTGCTCAGATCAGTGGTTTTTGGATCTTTAGATAGGGGAATTTTAAATATTCAGATCCAGATCTGGGCTTTGATCCACCATTTTTGGTTCAGGACTATATCAAGAAGCATTCTTCACGTATACTGTACAAAATGACAGAGTCAGTCATAAGATAAAGAATGATTTCAGATTAGATGTAAGGAACAAAAGACATTCTATTGCAAAAGGGGGGCAGAGAATAGAGGGAGTACCAGATAGATGATACACCGACATTAAAAGAGAGGTCTCAAGTGTGTGGAATAGAGAAGACCAAGGTTACAAAAGCAGAATGAGAGCTGTGGGAGTAAGTAACAAGGAGGTCACTGAAGAGTATTCAGCGCTGATCTATAGTTACCACTTAGTGCTATCTGAGATACCACAATTACTTCCTTTTCTAAAAGCAGGGATAAAGTGGCTGTACCTCATCTACCATTCTGATTAAATGTGGGTTGGCACTGACTTCTTTGGGGTGAACTTTGTACATGGTCGAAGTGTAGACTGAATCGCGTCAACAAAGAGTTCCGAACAGTGGGAGGCAGGGCCAGTGCAGACAACAATGTCAAACCTGAAGTTGCAAGGGTCACCCATGTCATAACAGCCCCACTCTCGAAGGACAGTTTGAAATGCTAGTTTGGTGTTTAGTGCTTTGAGCTCTGTGCCAGGTGGTGTCAGACTCTTCTGCTGACAGAGGTCAGTGGTGAAAATAAGCAAGATCCCTGAGGAATCAGAATTTTCCCTTGAACCACCAATTCTCCTACATACATACATACATACACAGAGAGAGAGAGAGAGAGAGAGAGAGAGAGAGAGTTCAGCACACATTACTCTCCACCCTGTGCCTTTCATGGGAGCCAAGCATCCCAAGTGGGCATGACAGAGATTGAGGCAGGTGGGAAGAGTAGACTATTAGTCTTTGATATCAGGGGGCCCAATCGAATAACACCAGTGATGCTTAAAATGGAACTGCCAGGAGGAGACCATAAAAACAGACTCATTTTTTAGCCTTATATCAATCCATATGAAAAATTGAATTAATCTAAAGTTATGACCATCACCAGATAAGAATATGGGATTCCAATCCACACTAAGATCATCCATCATCTTGGATAATATTAAAGGTATACATACACCTTTACTCTTTTGCTAAATACACAAGAGAGAGCATGTTTCTTTTCTTTGATGTCTACGTTGGTAATTTGGGCCATACTAGGGAAAACTGTATTTTTATTTCAAGGGGGAGGGGGTAAGAAACAGCCAACTTTTGACAAAGTCCTGAAATGAAAGGTTGAAAATACGGAAGTGCTTTGAAAGTGAAATATCAGAAGCTAGAGTCTGATACAAATCATCTGTTAACAGGGATGAATGAAAATAAAAAAGAAATAGAAATCTCAGCAAATACTGCGTACCCACAACAATAAAAAAATCTATAAGTTAGCTGAACATAGGGAATGCAGATAAGTTCAGCATCCAGAGGTGCTAGTGTGAACACTGCTGATTATGTTGCTAAGCAACCACTGTCAGGCTCTGAATCTCAGTATCAAGTAACACCAGATTCAGCAGAGAAAAGTATTTTGAAAACAAAAAACCCTGGGTTCAGTGTTAGTTACTGGGGAATGAGGAAGAGTAAAAGCTAACAGAAAATGAACCCTTTGTGTTGGTGAACCATCTTCTGTGATACTTGCCCTCCTTTCCAGCAGGACAGCTCAGGATTCTAAAATCACAACGGCATCCAAACGTGTTGGAAATTTCCAGCATCAAAGACAGTGACAATTAGGGATACAGTACAAAAGCGGTTTGGATTTTGGTGGTGTCTGGAAAGAGCTGCTTGAGAGTTGCGGAAGGGAATTTTATCTTCAGGATCGCTACATTTCCTGTGAACCTCAGGCAAGTTTTCAAACAAATAATACAGTGAAGTTGAGTTCTCATCTCTCTGGGTGGGGAATTGTGTGTATAAATCTCCACCTTCAGCCTTCTCCCCCTCCCCCCAGTGAGAAGAGGAGTTACTTTTGGGCTTGGATTATTTCACAACAGATAAAAATGCTTTCATTTATAGCAAATAGCTGCAGACTAAAGAAAATATTAATATTATTTTCAATCAGGTAGCTCAGACATGGGTAACACCTTATCCTTTCCTGACTTGGCAGCAAAAGTAAGACTAACTTAGCAAGACTAATATTTCCCAATACTAATGGTTTGCAAGAACTGAGATGTTGCCCTCAAAAATTAACTAGAATTTGGATATTTGTGATAACTGTGGCATTCAGCTTTGGCCACTTTTAAAATTACTGTTGTCCAATGATTTGAAAAGATCTCACAATGCAGAGTTTTTCTTCTAAAGCAAAATAGTACATTTTCTTTGAGAAGGTTCCACAATAACAAGTAGATATCCAATGTGGGCTTATGGTTTTGTTTTTAACCATCATTTAAATTCTACTTCAGGTGTAGCCACTTTACTTTCTCCTGGTTTTCATCATCCTGTTGCTGAGGTGAGTATATTGTTGCTGCTTGGAGAAGTACTAGATATAACTATACTGCAGGATTAATTTATTGAATATGTAAGCGCTTCCTGTTTATGGAATGGAGAAGAAATATTTTCTTTAAACAGTTTACAAAATATTTAAATTAAATTCTACAGATAGCACTCTATCTGCTAACATCTTTACTGCAAAGACAGATAATGAGAGAACTAAAAAAAGCGAATCTCATCATTTGCTAATAATTTACTAGCACTTTTATCAAAAAGTTTTAGTTTATTTGAGGTTGGGAGTCCTTTAATCCTCTAACACAGCAATTCACATGGGCAAAGAGAATTACTAATTCACTGCACTAGCTCGAATCTATCATACATATGCCTTTAGGTATTTTATTCAATGAGGGAATGGCTTTCCAGCACTGATTTCCAGTCACAGCATGGATAAACTTTTGCTACATTTTTAGTATCAGAAACGCAGCTAATTTCTGTGGTTTTTCAGAGGATCATAATAATTTGTGGAAAACTTAATTGTGTGTTATGCTGGTATTTGGCACCGCAGAAGTGCAAGAGACACATTTATAGAAATACATGTTTCCTAACGTAAACTAACTGTGGGAATGGGAGAAAAGTAGAAATGCTATCAGATGCCAACCACACAATTAGACAGAAGCCCAAAGAAACAAGGGATGAGAATCAGAGTCTCCCCATTTACTTGTGCTCAGATTACAGTCCAACCAACTTTCAGTAACAGCAGCAAATAGCTGCTATTCCCTCATCTGAGCAATTTCTTTGAAAAAAATTGAAAGGTGTTTCAGATGTGGACAAGATATGATTTTAGTGCTGAATAATCTGATTGCAATGATATTGCTCTAATGTTTTGAAATGTTTATTTTAGGAAATAGAGCTATGACTGCAACACTGTGCCTGCTGACTAAAGGAAATGAATTAGCAGATTTTGTAGACAATTTATTTCTGAACATTACTAGGTTTTCTAACCAAAAAAAAAATCTACTTTGAAATCTAACGGGACCTTGTAACTCAGATAAAGGAATATTTAAATATAAAAGCTAATCTTTTCATAAAGTTTCTGTAGCAGTTTTACAATGATCTAATAAGTAGTTCAGGAATTGATGGATTACCCTCAGAAATGTATTTTAAAATTCTTGGTGTATGCCAGGACATTGGGAATGATAAATGAATATAGATCTGATGGTATTCTCCTTGTACTATTGCTCCAAAAAAAGGAAGATCTAATGGACTATTTCCAGTATTTAAAAATCTTACTGTAATTAAGTTACAATACCATTCTTGCAAAGAGGCTTAGGTGTACATATATATTAAATTCATAGCAATCTTACTGGACTAATTTTATTAAACTACTAATTATGCTGTAAGTTATAAAAATAAGTAACTCATGGTGTTTTAGAATCCTTTAGAATTCAGCATCACCTGTTTGTGAGTTTCTATGAAGCCTAGGAAAGCTTTGTCCATGTGAGCCATGAGCATCCTTGTAGCATAGTGCATTCTAAGCCATATGGCCTGATTTTCAGTAGGTGCTGAGTACTTCCAATTTCCATTCACTTTGGGCTTGTTCATGCAAGGTGCTGAGCCCTCTGGCCCCAATCCAGCACAATATTTAAACAGGTGCTAAAATTTGAACACAAAAGTAGCCCCTTTGACTTTAGTGGTAGCAATGAATACGCAGCACCTCGGAAATCCACTATGGTTTTGGAAATTGATTTGATAGCACCACCCTGTCCTGCTCCACACTACCATCAAATGGAAGCTAATCACCTGGCTTCCCAATAGTTGCAGGGGTGGGAAGAACAAGATCTTGCAATATAGATGCAGTATGTAATTTTTCTACCCCTCATGCCATGCAGAATGAGGAAATGGGAGAAGAGTAAAGCGGCAGCCACCTGTCAGTGGTAAGAGAGGTTTGGGAGGTAATGAGGAATGAAGAGGCACCTGACCTCAGCCACTTCCAGCCAAGAGCTCTCCTCCACAACCTGACAGTGTACAACCACAAATATTTGAAAGATACACTGCTTCTTATACATATGGTCTCAATGTCCTAAAGATGTGTTCTATTTCTGGATCAGTCTGAAAATTCTAGAGATGCACTTTTATTTACATCCTTGAATCAGATATTTTGTAGAGCCACTTAAAAAGATAATCAGAAATGTTGCATCACACATTATTATTGTACTTATATTAACTATTTCAAAAACAGGACATAGGGAAATTAAATGAGGGACTTCTCCAAACTAATGCTCTGATCAGATCCATGTGTACAGAACTTTTCACCTCTGCTTAGGCCCACTGACTCAGCATGGGCATAAGGGTTTGCCTGCCAAGCTCCAACTATAAGAGATTTATGTATCTCCGATTCCACAATCATTCTTTACTTCTCAAATACATACCTCATTTTTACAGTGACTTATTAAAACAATATGAATAATTTAGAAACTTTGGGAGCCAGGCACGTTTTGTGTATTTTGTACAACAGGTATACATGAGTGGATGAAAATATTATTTTCTTTGTAATTTCATGGTTTAAAGTTTCACAAAGAATGTATTGAGGGACCTGGAGTCACAGAGAGGAACATTTTAAAAAGAATTTTTTTTAAAAATGAAAAGAAAAGGAGTACTTGTGGCATCTTAGATACTAACCAATTTCATAGATTCATAGATATTTAGGTCAGAAGGGACCATTGTGATCATTTAGTCTGACCTCCTGCACAACGCAGGCCACAGAATTTCACCCACCACTCCTACAAAAAAAACCTCACACCTATATCTGTGCTATTGAAGTCCTCAAATCGTAGTTTAAAGACTCTAAGGAGCAGAGAATCCTCCAGCAAGTGACCCATGCCCCATGCTACAGAGGAAGGCGAAAAACCTCCAGGGCCTCTTCCAATCTGCCCTGGAGGAAAATTCCTTCCCAACCCTAAATATGGCGATCAGCTAAACCCTGAGCATATGGGCAAGATTCATCAGCCAGATACTACAGAAAATTCTTTCCTGGGTAACTCTGATCTCACCCCATCTAATAGCCCATCACAGGCCACTGGGCCTATTTACCATGAATATTTAATTACCAAAACCACGTTATCCCATCATACCATCTCCTCCATAAACTTATCGAGTTTAATCTTAAAGCCAGATAGATTTTTTGCCCCCACTGCTTCTCTTGGAAGGCTATTCCAAAACTTCACTCCTCTGATGGTTAAAAACTTTCGTCTAATTTCTAGTCTAAATTTCCTAGTGGCCAGTTTACATCCATTTGTTCTTCTGTCCACATTGGTACTAAGCTTAAATAATTCCTCTCCCTCTCTGGTATTTATTTGAGCATAAGCTTTCGCGAGCATAAGCATTTTCCACTTTTATGCATCTGATGAAGTGAGCTGTAGCTCACGAAAGCTTATGCTCAAATAAATTGGTTAGTCTCTAAGGTGCCTCAAGTACTCCTTTTCTTTTTGCGAATACAGACTAACACGGATGCTACTCTGAAACCTTAAAAAATGAAGTATTCTTTTTCTTTTGCAGTTCTCTCCTACATCAGCCCTACAGAAGCAACAGTTTTCCAGTTACAGCCTTTGGCATCCTTCATAATCTTTTTTTTCAATCAGATTGCAAACAAACAATGACATGAAATGGTTGTTCTTTATTGCAGATGCATATTTTTGCTTCTCCTCATACTGTGTTTGTGTTAAACATTAACTTGTATGCAGTTTATAATTGTGTTGTGTTGCAACATCTCTAACTCTTGTTTTTATTTTTCATCCAGTAGCTATTTCAAAAATGTTTTGTATGACTGACAGTGTGTGGAATGACCGCCAAAAGAAGTATTACTTTTATAAAACTAGATTTAATTCAATACAATTTGTCACACCTGTTTCAATTTCCTGTAGTTCACTAATACTTGTAAACCCATTGTAATATTAATGACATTATCTGTCTTCTTGCATTCACTGACAATGTGAGCGTCTGTATCCCAGACCTATACATTGTGGACCTGTTTGGATGGTATTCATGGCATGGCAAAAAATATTTCTGTTTTGGAGGGGTGTGTGTGTGCGTGTTTCAAAAAAGATTCATTCTAAGGGTTCTGTGAAATTGTTGTGTCTGTGAAAAATGTGAAGTATACTTCTGTTAATTTGGCAAAGAAGTGAAATTAAATCATGTCCATAAAATAATATCCTGTGTTTCCTGTATCCTATTTTATTTTATAGTGATACATAAATGTACAAATAAATGAAGGACATTTAAAACTGAATCTGAAATACACCACTATAAGCCTTAGCCATAGTTTTAGCCAGCACTGAAATTGAAAATAGAAATATTGCTCATGTAAACGGTTAATTTAACCATACATCTTAGTTGCTCTTTATAGATTTAACTAGGAGTAAATACTATTATGACAGTCCCAACTATGAAGTCGATCCCTACAAGTTATGAGGTACAAAGTAATGAATGAAATCTTGTAATTTCTTTTCTTCCTAAATGCAACAAAATAATCTGGATCAGGTCTGATATTTGCGGGTAAAACAATCTACCTCAGCTCCTTTTGCAAGACATGAGATAATGAAGACTTTCATGCATCACAAAGGGGAGCACAGCACTTTAAAATAATAAAACTGATACCTCACAGGGCTGTTGTGGGACTTAACTCATTAATGTCATTGAAGCATTTTGAGATCTTCGAAGGAAAGCTGCTTTATAACTTCAGAGCATTATTAAACAATTGTCAGGTTACTGGATATCTATTTTTATTGTTCATATGCCTAATAATTAAGAAAAAAGATTCTTTATAAGGAAAAGATTTATGCATTTCTCAGATGGAAGCCATTTGCATTTTCATAATGGAATCACAACTCTACAGATTTATGGGAAAAGGCTGCAGTTTTATTAAGGTACAATAATTAACCAACTGTTAAAATATGCAAGTATTAAACACATCAACAACTTATATTACTTCAGAGGCCACAACACTATTGACCTTCAATATAGCTATATCCAGCAATCAGGTCACTCACGTTCCTAGGGTGAGTTCTTCCAGTACCAACATAAGTATCTTCTGGCAGCTTTTCCTAGTGAGAGATGATTACTCTGCATTTACCACCCACAAAGGACATTGTGGTAACTTCACCTTCCATGCCTTTTCACACTAGGTTTGCTGGACTAGCTGGGTTACTAAACAACACTTGCTGCAGTGGTAAGGAATCAAATTTCAATGACACTGGTGTATACTTTGGGAACTTTTTTTAAAATTTAATAGCTTACTTTGCATTTTAATTTGTAGCCCTCAGTATGATTTTTTTTAAAAAAGGATAAGATTTAAAGTTATCAATAATCCTTCACACACTCAGTATCATTTTTTTTAATAAAGCCGAGTAAAAATCCATTTTTATGGGGAAAGAGGCAACAAAATCCATCAAAGGTAAGGGACTGGTACTCAGGAAACCCTAGGCTCATTGTCCAGATCCCACTGGCCTGTTGGGTGATTTTGAATAAGTCACTTCACCCGTGCCTCAGTTTCTCTATCTGTAAAACAGGGATAATGATACTCTTCCACTTTTGTAAAAGCATTGAGCTCCATGAATGAGAGTGCTAAAAATTATTATTAGGCTGTGTTACTATATAGGTATTTATTAAGCCAACAATGGCAAAATGAAGCCAGCCAAAGAAGGACGCATGATTATCATCATACCAGTTCTGCGGGTATGATGGTAATCATATTGTAATAACTTTTATAACAATAAATGCTCATGATCCTGGCCTGTGGGATGTCTGAATATTCTCTGCCTCTTCATACTAGAGTTTCTTTCTTTCTCCAAATGCTATTGCTTTTATGAATTATCCTAACTCTAATACATAAAATAAAATCTGAGAAAAAGTGGCTTAAAGGGAATTGGGGGAGTTGGCTAAAAAATTTTTGAAGAAAAAAATAGAACTGGGTTTCATCAATTTAAAACATTAAATTTACCATTGTAAGGTATATTGAGCAGGAAGGGGGATAGTTAGAGAGAAATGGGAGGGAAATAAGGGGTTACAGTGCATGGAGTAAGGGAAACGATTTCCCTCAGTGGTGGTTAATGGAGCATATTACATCTCTCCTCTTAGTAAGGAAACTAATGGGGAGCACACAGCTGGAGAACACTAAAGAAGGCACACAGCAAAGGGGTGGTATGGTTGAAATTTGCAAACTGAACCTCGTACTCCAATAGAATGGCTTTGCAGGGCCCCCCTACACTTGCCTGATTCAGCCTAGTTGCTAAGTCAAGTGACCTAAGATGGCCATTTCAGGAGGCACTGATCTTGAGTCACAACACAGGCAAAAAAGAGAACCATTTCCTTCCAGAACAATACAAACTGAAGTATATGGAATGTGGCTTTACATAATAAAGTGGGGTCAGCACACATTTATTGAAGCTGAGAAACACATGCATAGACCCCCACTTTGCATCTAAAAAAAAAAAATAACAATGTAGGGCCCACCCAATCCTGCACACGCAGAATTCCCAATAACATCAGTGCCACAAAGCATTTAAATCTCGCAAAACATATTCCTGCCAAAAAAGGGATTATAAACAAACATAAAAGGAAACATTTTTTAATGAGAAGTGCTTACATTCGTCTCCAAATCCTTTTGCATTTCTTCAGCTGACCTGGGGTGAACCTTTGTTTTTTTGGCTATCAGTTCATTTTTAAAATATGTTTTACTATCAGGAAAACAGACCTTGGAAAATGATCAACCTGTTTGTCTAAACAGAACAGTGTGTCAGCATCTCTCCTCCACGTCCAGTAGCTAAGAGGATGCAACCAGTACCTTCATCACTCTGGCATTCTATTTCAGTCTAACTCTACATCAGGAGGCTGTCTGAGCTCAGCACTGATAACAAAGCACTATCGCTTTTCGAAGTGACAGAGCGCAGTGACATATCAACACCGGAACTTAAACGAAAAGCCCCTTCTAATTTAACTGCTAATCTGCTGAAGTTACATTCAGTCTGGCACTCTTGTTTTTAAATAAAACTTTCTTGTAACAAGAGAAAAAGTTTGGTGTGTGCCCTAGCCTTTTTCGTTAGCAGTTAAAGCAGGTTTCAGAGTAACAGCCGTGTTAGTCTGTATTCGCAAAAAGAAAAGGAGTACTTGTGGCACCTTAGAGACTAACCAATTTATTTGAGCATAAGCTTTCGTGAGCTACAGCTCACTTCATTGGATGCACTAACCAATTTATTTGAGCATAAGCTTTCGTGAGCTACAGCTCACTTCATCGGATGCATACTGTGGAAACTGCATGCATCTGATGAAGTGAGCTGTAGCTCACGAAAGCTTATGCTCAAATAAATTGGTTAGTCTCTAAGGTGCCACAAGTACTCCTTTTCTTTTTTCAGTTAAAGCAGGAAGCAGCTGAAGGGATAAAGAAGAGACAGGTATATTTTTCAGCACTGCTAAATGTCAGCTGTATATTTGTCAGAATGGAGTCACCCCAGTATGCACTTACACCTTTTGAAGCTATTTCTAGCTGAGTGACTGGAAGGCTTGCTATCAAAATGGAAATTAACATGAGGTAATGCATACAATGTAGAACATACATGCTCTTGTGAAAATGTCTTATTCCTTTTTAATTTAGTAACCAACTCTACCATTTTTAACAGAGGACTTAGAAAGGATTTTAGGACAAATCCAAATGAATTTAGTCCTTTGGTGAGTGAAAGCAGATATCTCAGTAAATTTTTCTAATGCTATGCTGGCAAGAAATCCTTTTAAATATTTCTGCATACTTTCAGTGGTTTCTCAGATCACTAACCTGCAACATTAGGTTTTTAGATTGTTATTTGCAAAAGAATGGTCTACTAAACTTAAGGGGATAAAAGCTCATATTGCTGTTTTAGGGAACATTTATAGTAACATCCAGACAATGCTGTTTAAAATTTTGGAAACTGCCTTTCCCTTCAGGCAGACAGCAAGTTTTCTGGCAATTTGTCTCTCAGACAACCATTAAGTACTAAAGAGTGATTTTTTTTTTCCTTTTTCTAAGTAGCTTCTGTTTCCTCTGGTTGCTTCAAACACATTTTTCTTCAAGAAACTGTTTCAGTGGATTGGCTACATATCAAAATACTGTCCTCTGTCTAATGGCATGAGTCAATCTACTGCTGCTTGATCGATCAAAACTTGGACCAAAAAATGTACAACATATGGCACATATCCCAACAAAACTATGTGGGAAAATGTAATATTTAAAATTAACCACCACCAAGAAAAGGGGGAAATCATTAAACTTGAATTACTGCAATGCAGATAAAAATGCAAATATTTTTAGCTTTAGTACTGATGCAGCTTTAGGTACTATCTCTGCTTCTAATAAACTACCCTCATAGTTCCTTCAGCTTTTATATGTACACACGTGTAAAGCAATCAAATGGATAAAAATTAATATTTTTGCTGTACTGATCAAGTATTTTTCATGCAAAATAACTGATGCTCTTAAAAGAGCTGCATGTCTTTCATAGAGTATTAAATAATGTACATACTGTACATCATTCTTCCTTAAAACATGCCTCATTACACTGAATTTAAAAACCAAAATAAAACTGACATAATCAACCACAGACAAATGATTTGGTGTTAAGTTTCAAATGATTTATGATACGCCTAATAGTATACCTTCCTTCCTTAAATGTCTGTCAATGATTTTACATAAATTCATTACTAGTAATAAACTACACTAAAGTTTTATATTATTCATCAATAAATTATGTGGTCCCAGATTTTGAAACATAGCTGTTTTATTAAATTAAACGGGGACTGTCCCTTCTTACTGAACATTTTCATTATAAACCTTTGGTTTCAGGGCAACTTTTATCAGACAATTGTCATATTCTGGTTCATCTGTGCTCAGCTCTGTAAGCTGTTCCAAATTTATTAAATCAGAGAAAATCTGTTCTCTAGAAGGAAATGCATCTTTGCTATATGCCATATCTACATGACAGTATAATGTTCTTTGGACAGGATTAAGTCAGAACTGTGGATTTTTCTAAAACCTTCATGTGCCCTGTGGAATTTTTGCTCTGTGACTGCCACCTATTTACACCCCCCGCCAATTATAGTACACTATTGATTCACCTTGGAATGCTACTGTGTATTTATTTAGCACCCATGGTAGAAACCAGAGCATACATTATTCTGTATT